TGATGAAAAGTGTGAGCAAATGTACGGCTTCTTGCCATGTTCAACTACCATGTTTGGTCATCTCTTTCTAATTCTGGTTTACGAGTTCTTGTTGTTCCATGGAGAATCATACTTGGCTTCTGGGGGTGAGCAGATCTTCAAGATTCTTGGCCCTGGGCTTCTCGGTGCGAGTGCCTTCGATCTTCTTGGTGCCCTTCCTGAATCCTTAATTCTTCTTGGTATGCTAAGTCTCTTTTTCCCTGTTTCTAGATTTTCTAAACTTGTAACTATAATCTATCGAAACGAAGATTGAACTTGAAATCAAAACTACTTTCTTGGATCTTAAAAGTTAAATCTGCAATTTTAGCAAGTCCCATGTCTGTCCTATTCCAATGGTCTATAATATTATTATTTTAGTTTTCCTCCTAGATCTGACTTCATCAAGTCTTGCTAATCTATACCAAAAGACAAGTCTTCATCTTAAAAAATTCAATGAAATCCCAAGTACTGGGGTATCTGAGATTATAAAATAAATTCCCTAAACTTATCTTCATCTTGGAACTATCTGAACCACATGCCACTGGACAGTCTCTGAAGAATATGCTTCGTTGACTTAAAAAATCTGTTATAGCCATGGGGTTCTGCAGCACATCTCTATCCCAATAGCGGTGACAAATTGAACTAATCTGTGTTGACTACTTAATAAAGACCTGGCCATTTTTTTTAAGAGGTTTTTCTAATGTCATTGATAAGATTTTATTTTGTTCTTGTTATTAGTTACTGGGCTTTCCAGAGAGACCAAGGATAGTGCACAAGAGTATGCTTCCACTGGAGTTGGCATATTGGCCGGATCATCCATCTTGCTCCTCACAATAGTTTGGGGAACCTGTGTCATCACTGGCAGGCAAAAATTTAAAATTGACTCAAGGCCTACGTACTCTCATAATTCAAATTCATCAAGTTCAACTCTCAAAGAATTATTAGCTGGTCTTCCCTCTATCTTTCCCTTTGGTTTCTGTGCCTATTAATTATTGTCCAATTGTTAAGTTGTATCTGAACTACCCAGAGCAAAAGAAGTACTCCCGCGGTCCCTATTATAAGCCACCTTTAAAAAGAAAAAGAAAAATTAGTCCTTGATATAAGGTACTTAATGGGGTATTAATTACATGTTTCCAATATAATCTCTATTTAAACTCATGAATTATGGGAGAGAATGTAATGCAAATTTTAAAAATTTTCATTTAAATAAGGGTAAAATTGAAAATTTATTCTATTTTTAGATAAAGTTAATAACTTAACATAGTTAGATGTAGAGGGAATAAAGAACTATGCAGTTGAGTTGATATATGGAAAACTACTTTATACCTCATGAACTTGAGATAGTGGTATTAACCTACACATTATTGAGATAACAAGACACATGAGGATCACATGGCATCTTTTAGCTGGGTTTAACGTTGTTCTTTTAGTCTAAGTCTGTAAAATGTAAATGTTTTTGATGTGTTGATTTAGTTTCCCTTTGACATTTATAAGCAATGAAGAAACCAAGTTGTTAATAGTTGTTTTCTGTGTTTCAAATTCTTCATTGGTGATTGCTTCCTAGCACTACCTTTGTTGTTCTGACACGTCTCTGATTTTTCCTTTTCTTGGCCTACTAGGGTTTGGGATTACTATGGATAAAGAGACAAAGGACATGGCAAGAATCATGGTTCTCTCAGTTATACCACTCGTAATTATGCAAATTCCTAGTGTGTTTGGACTCTCTTTAGTGCTTCGCTCGGTGGCCTTGATGGTTGCTCTTATCGTTACTGTCATTTTTGTCTTGTTGTACCTCATTTATCAGGTACCTCATCCCACAATTTCCATCACTACCGAAGTTAATCCTTGAAATTACATTGTCTCATTAATTTCTTTTTTTTGGTGATATGTTTCATTAATTTCTTTAAGAAAGCAATATGTAGTTACAGTCTAGTACCTGGGAAGTATTTTAAGCTGGATGAACCCTAATAAAGGGAAAAAACTTGGCTAAATCTTCAGCAGACTTACACGAAGAAACATTTTCAAGGAATCAGTATTAAAAGGTTATTTTATTGTGGACGAATCAGATAGCAAACAAACACTCCAAAAAATTTATCCAATTCTTGTGCTTGTTAAAATGCTTTTATCCATATGATTCACAATACTGTTGATGTCATTGCTTACAGTCATCCTATTTGCCCTTGAGAAACAGGTAAGTAACTGCTTATTTCCTTGTAAATCTGCAGATATTTAAACCTCAGATAGAGAAAACAAGGCTAGAATACATAAAACATCATGATTTAATATTGAGAATTTTCCAGCACGTTGAAAAGCAAACCCTTCAAAAGATCCTCACTGAGGATGGAACTCCTAATGTGGCAGCCATTAATGGGTGAGTAAGAAGATTTCATGAAGAGCTTGTCACAGACAGCATCAAATACATGATTAATCACAATTACTTGATAATGCAGGCTATATAACGAAATTAGTCAACACGGTGGTGGAGACAGGGATTTATTGGCTTCTGAAGTGAGAGAGCTGCTGCTCAAGAACAAATTAACTGAGACAAATATCTCAGAGGAACAAGTTGAGGACATGTTAAGAGTGTTTGATCGAAATGGTGACCAAATTATAACCAAGGAAGAGTTTGTCACTGGGTTAACACAATGGATTGAGCAAACGAAGCATGCTCTGGATAAACAATACATACCAAGAAAATCAGTCCAGAACATTTATCAGGTAGATGATGATGGTGGTGGTGGTGGTGATGGTGATATAATATACCTTGTTATATGAATGCCACGCATATATTTTACTTCTTTTAAGCTAAGCACGTCCTCATTACTGTATTAGTTAGTGAATGTGAGGAAAAAATATGGTTTTGAAAATCTACGAGGAAATATGAGATAAAATACAAAGCAGAATGCTAATTGATCTTATATTAGTAGGGTTTCCTCAAGCCATGGATGGAACACACCAGAAAAGAGCGCGAGATTAAGGGACATCTTGTATCTGAAATCTTAAGGCATGCTCAAAGCGATATGGTTGGCCGGCTTCTCAATGATGATGGCACGGCAGATGAGTCTGCTATAAGAAGGTATTAACTATAAACCTAAACCAAAAAATCAGTTACATACTTTGGAGATTCCAAAGACAAAAATTCAAATGTCATTCGATCACAAGGCTGTGTTCGTTGTCCCACAGACAAAGACTTGATGAGATTTTTGTTGTCTGTCATATATGTTGGTGAGCACTATTGACACTGCGATGTGATGTAACAGGTTGTTTGAGGAAGTTGATATCAATAGAGATAATTGTGTTACTCAATCCGAGTTAAGGAACCTAGTGACCAACATCCACTTTGGTAAGGCAGTGGATGAGGAGGAAGCTGTCAAGAAAATAATTCAAGATTTTGATATCAACAGTGACAATGTGATTACTGAGGAAGAATTTGTGGATGGATTCACAAAATGGGTGCTTTCATTTTCCAGACAAGCTCCACGCTCAAAATCTCTGCCTCATGAAGAAGAAACTCATCAAGTATTTGCATTATTCAATTTTTCTTCCTCATTTTTTTGGGAAAATTAATTATGTAGTTTATGTAGTTTTAACTTGATTATAATTCAGTCTCTCAAATTTTAGCCATCTAACATGTTGATCCCTACTTTTTATAACTCGATTATAACTAAGTCCTTGAAGAGTTAGATAATTTTTTGAATTTGCAAAGGCTAACATATTAAATGACTCCAACTTGAGGGGCTGAGTTGGAAGAGTTGAACAAAATGAGTTGCAAAAAATTATAAGGACTAACTAATTAATTTTTCCTTTTTTGTTTTTAAATGTTTTGAACGCTTGTCAATTCATTTTCCTTTCGGATGTGTTAGACCTGGGAATATGTAGAGAAGGTTGTGGAAGAGAAGCATCAGCACAAAGGAATATATGGATGGATCATGGCTATACTAAATGTGGTTCTTGGAATTACTATTTTATCCATTCTTGCAGAGCCATTAATAACAAGTGTCCAGAAGTTCTCTGCAGAAGCAGGAATCCCATCTTTCTTTGCCTCATTCATTTTAGTCCCTCTGGCCACAAATTTTAGAGAAGCAACCTCGTCCATCAAAGAAGCTAGCCACAAGAAGAGAAGTAACACTTCTCAGACAATCTATGAGGCCAGTCATGAGTAAATCACTTAGTCGTCTTTTCTATTATAGTTAACTGATCCCTACTTAACTATTTCTATAGTCATATTAAAAATAATTCTGTTTCTTATTGTGCATTTCTATACACTTCATTGACAAAAAACTAAAGAAATTTTTTGCTAAGAGGGTTTAGGAAAAATTCAATAAAAGTTAATATAATTTATTCATGAATTTTGAAATGCAGATTTATGGAGCAGTATTTATGAACAACATCCTTGGATTCTTGGCAATTGCGATTCTGATATATGTGAGAGAAATTATGTGGGAATTCTCAGCAGAAGTGTTGGTTGTTGCAATTGTCTGTGCCATAACGGGCCTTTCTGCAAGTTTCCGGCCCAATTTTCCTCTGTGGACATCCTTCGGCGCTTACCTTTTATATTTGCTGTCTTTAGTTCTGGTTTATGTTCTCAGTGATGTTCTGCATTACGCTTAGTGAGCCACTCTTTGAAGATCTTGACCGACACAGAATGATCTTATCTGGACAAGTACCAAACATTATATATTTATCATGGTTCAAGGACACACAATGATGTGTAACTAAATGTATTGTTATAGGTTCTTTTTTTGGGCCAGCGTTATAGGTTTAAATTTTAGTTAAGTCTATTTCTTAAGATCTTGGGCTGCTCGTGCATCTAATTGGTCTTTTATAGGTATAATAAATGATTCTCGCATGATCTGTTGGTCCGAAAAATAGAAAAATTATCAAACTGTTGCTGCCCCATCCCATGAAGTTTGACTTTTTTAAGGTTCCGTTTGGTTCTCAACTTTGATAGATTCCTGGAATATGTCGCATTCTCTGCTTGGAGCAAGTGGTTTTTCTTGAACAATAATTATACTCTTTAAATAATTTGAAGGTTGTTGACGGGGCTTCAAATGCTTCATCTCAAACCTTAAACAGATTGAGTATTGATATTTTCTGTAGACCACGTCAGATTTTTTTTTCCCCAACAAGTTGAAAGCATGAAACCGTATACCCATTCAATTACTTTACTTGTGGATCATAATTTCCTATTACTACTATTTCATCATATGCTTTTCAACAACTGCTTCATAATATGCAGAAGCATTCTTTCTACCGTTCATTTGGGCAACAATCAAGCAAGTGATGAGAACCATTTTGAGAAAATTATGCTTTGTTTTGTTCATTCTTTTTGCAATAAGGATTGTGGTTGAAGGGCGTCGTCTGAACTCCATAACTATTGATAATGAATTGGTTTCAGACGGGGTTGATGATGACGATGAAGTTCAACACAACAAAACTTACTTACTTTCCAAAGGCATTGAATCTGAACCCATTTATCAGGAGTGCAAGCAGATGTATGGGTTCTTGCCATGTTCAAACAACATTTTTGGCCACCTGTTTCTGATTCTGGTTTATGAGTACTTGTTGTTCCATGGAGAATCATATCTGGCTGATGGAGGTCAGCAGATCTTCAAGATTCTCGGTCCTGGGATTTTTGGTGCAAGTGCCTTTCACATCCTTAGTGCCCTCCCAGAATCCTTAATTCTTCTTGGTATGCGACTTCTCTTGGAAGTAAAACCTCATTTCGAATTAATCCTCAAATTGATTATCTTTGAATTTCGATAATACTCAACAAATTTTGTTTGGATCTAATTCTGTATCCATGGAGATACTGTGCTTCTGCGTATGCTAGTTTTCCTTCCATGAGCTTTAAATATTAAATCTTGATAACAATAATACTCAACTAGGCTCTGGACTCGCCAAATGTCTCCAATTAACTGTTTGATGTTGGAGCAACTAGTTGTTTTTGGAAAAACTTATATACTTAGCCTTATATACTTAAGGTGCTTATTTTCAATTAAATTAAGACATATATATGTATTATTTATAACTTATTTAATCTATAATAAATTATTATTATTAAAATTATTAACACATTTAAATCTACTTGTTTTGATTTGATTGGATAAAAGTACATTAAATATATAAGGCTAAATGCATAAATTTTGTCCTTTTCTTGATTGCACAAGGTATCCCTCAAGCTGGTAGCCATGAGACTAATTTCTCCAGAAATTTGAGTGCCATTTTTGGAGTTATCTTCTCCCAAGCAATGTTTTTTTATATATATCTTCTGGAATCAAACCCTGGATGTAGCATGTAGCTTTTAATTCTTCATGTTGTGTTTAGTTTGAAAATTTGGGAAATAAATTTAAACCTGAGTGAAGTTTTACATGTGACTAAAAAGTTTCAGCATTGCCTATAATTATGAAATTCACAACAACCAAACATGTCTTAATTCAGCTTCATAAACTCTATGAGCTGTTTTGCATCTAAAATTTTAAATGCAAGTTAGAACTGGTCGGTCTCAGAAGGGTCAATATTTGTGAAGCACTTTAATTCTTAATAGCGTGCAATCTTTATATGAATTCCTATACCATCTGATATTGATAAAATGAAATCATTCAATCTATGAACCCATCCCCATCTTTTGTATCCCAATTACGAATATGCCATATTTGGTAAATAACAAAAATGCCATTTTGCTTTATCAGTTATATGATTAGTGTTTGCTATCAGTTTCTGGACTTCTCAGCAGCAAGGAGATTGCTCAAGAGTATGCTTTTACTGGAGTTGGCTTGTTGGCTGGATCATCCATCTTGCTCTTGACAGTAGTATGGGGAACCTGTGTTATTATTGGGGCCCAACAATTCAACAGAGATTTAAATCTTAGAAACTTTGATGATTCTAATTCAGCATCTACAAGACTTGAAACATTTTTGACTGGTCTGTTCCATCTCAATCCTCTAATTATATTCTCACTTAAACTGCATTCAGATTCGTGGTCAACACATAATATTGTTTCAAATGCCCATAGCTAAGCCTGCTTGACATGTCTCCAAAAAATTTGGTGGGATTTTAGGTCATGGCATTACAACAGACTTGGAGACCAGCTACACTGCAAGAATCATGATTTTCTCCGTCATACCACTCATAATAATGCAAATCCCTAGTCTGTTTCAATTCTCTTCTGGGCCAAGATCTGTGACCTTGATAATTGCTCTCATCATTACTGCCATCTTTCTGTTATTGTACTTCACTTACCAGGTTTACAAAATAATCTGGTAACTTATGAAATCCTTTATAAAATAATGTGATTCAAACTATAAGAGGAAAAGTAAAAGGGTTAAAGAGCAAAAATACTCAGAAACTTTTTCTCTAAGAATTTCTAATATCTTTAAGTCAACAATGGTGTCTAGGTATCTATTAACTTTAGAAAAGAGGCCAATCTTCCCCTATCTATTAAGTTATATCCTTAAAATTTAATTATCAACGTTAGACTATTGTACCAGATTGGAGAATGTTTGCCTTTTTTATAAAGTTAATGGGTACCTAAGCACTGTTATTGATTTAAAGATGCTAGAAGCTTTTGAAAAAAAAGTTTTTGAGTATTTTTGCACCTTAACTCAGAGTAAAATGATAGTTCTCTTATAGAGGGGCAGAGAATGCATGCAGGGAGTTGTAGACCAGAAGAAAATGTTTCTGACAATTGGCTTTCATTTTGCTATCAATCTGCAGATTTTTGAACCCTGGATACAGAAAAGAAGATTGGAGTATGTGAAGCGCAATCATTTACTAGTACAAATATTACGACATGTTGAGAAGAGTACCCTGGAGAGGATTCTCACCAAGCATGGATCTCCAAATGTAAGCGCCATAAGAAGGTGAGATTTCATCAAACAACTCTTGAAGTAGGTGAAAATTTTGTTTTATTGTCCAGAAGGGTTATGTTTAGTTCATCGCAATGGCTATCTGTACATTGCAGGCTATTTAGAGAAATGGATCAAGATGGAGACAGTGTTGTAACACCTTCTGAAGTAAAACAAATCCTGCTTAAGAGCAAATCAAATGAAAGAAGTATCAATGAAATGGAGATAGAAGACATGATGAGAGTTTTTGACTTGAATGCTGATGACAATAGAATTACTAAGGATGAATTTGTGAGCGGCTTTATAAAATGGCTTGAACAAACCAAGTTTGCTCTGAATAAACAGTATATGTCAAGGAAATCACTCAAGGAGTTATATCAGGTACTAAATGCACCTTGTGACTTAGAATTCCACGCATTTCCAATTTTCAGCTCTACATATACACACTCATGTTATATTTACATGAATCTTGAAATTGCCATAACACTTGAGAAGCTACTGATTCGTTCTGTGTTTCTGACAAACTTGTAAAAATCTAACAGGTTTTCGAGCCTTGGATTGAGAACAAAAGGAGAGAACAAGAAACGAAGAGATATGTTATATCTGAAATCTTATGGCATATCCAGAACGATTTGGTTATCAACCTTCTCACTGAAGATGGCAAGCCCGATGAACTTGCTATAAGAGGGTTAGAATCTTGAATTCTTCTTCTTACCTAGCCAGGTGCAAGTATAATAACAATAATGATAATGATAATAAACCTTAACTAGATTACAATCATGTCAAACTAGTTAATAGTGCTGGAAATATGAGTTGAACAAGTGAGCTCATATCCACTTATTTCACAGGTTATTCGACAAGATCGATAGCAATAAAGATAACTGCATTTCCGGGTCTGAGTTAAGAAAACTACTCACAGATATCAATGTTGCTAAATCATCAATAGATGTGGAGGAAGCAGCCAGTAAATTCATTGAAGAACTTGACTCTGACAGTGACCATGTCATTAGTGAGGAGGAATTCATTTCTGGGTTAAAAAAATGGCTCAGCTCATCATCTCCCAGCCCCGCTCTTCTCTCAGACTCTGAGTCTCAAGAAGATATGGTGAAAGTAAGTGAAGCACAGTAAAAGAACACACAAAGTTTCCAATCTTGTTCATTTTACTTTTTTGTGTGTCAAGATCCAGAAGTTAAAACTGACACCATGTTGTTGTGACTAAGATGTGGGAAGAGACAAACATGGTGGTGGAAGAGAACCAAAGCAAAGCAGTGGTTGATAAATCGGTATGGGCATGGCTAAAGGCAATAATGTATGTAGTGGTGGGGATTGCTATTTTATCTGGTCTGGCAGAGCCCTTGGTAGAAAGTGTACGCAAGTTCTCGGACAGTGCAGGAATTAATGCGTTCTTCATCTCATTTATATTAGTCCCATTGGCTACAAATGCTAAAATAGCAATTTCTGCAATCAAAGAAGCAAGCCATCAGAAGTCTAGGACTACCTCTCTTTCCATTTCTGAGGTTAGTCATCATCTCGTCTCCCTTCACTTCTTCAATAACAACATAAATCATTGATGTCAACTCATTTTAAATAATAAATGTCAACCCATTTTAAATAATGATGGTGGTGGTGATGAATGATAAAAGACGCTTGGTGGAGGTATGACTCAATTTATCTATATGTGATAGGGTTGGGCTAGAAAAGAAAGGCATGCAAATAGAAAGAAATATGAAACTAATGGCTCAAAGTTTAGGGTTAACTCACGTATATGTAACATGAGTGGAAGAACTTGTACATTCCCCTGAGTCCCAACAAATGGTATTAAAGCCAGGTGGCTCAGTAGAATCTTCCCAGCCTTGGATTCTTTTATGAGTTCTCATGAGATGATAAAAATTAATTAGAAGTTTGTTTTTTTCTTTGAGATTTGATTGACAAACACATATAATCCATGATGTGAAAGAAGTTTTGTGGTCAATGATTGCAGATATATGGAGGGGTGTTCATGAACAATGTGCTAGGGTTCTTTGCAATTTCTGTTTTGATATATGCTCGAGGAATTACATGGGAATTCTCAGCTGAAGCTTTGGTTGTGGCACTGGTTTGTCTTGTGGCAGGCCTTGCGGCTAGTTTTAACTCAAGTTTTCCTATATGGTCTTCCTTCTGCGCCTATCTATTGTACCCATTTTCTCTCGTCCTTGTTTTTATCCTCAGAGATGTTCTCACCTATATTTAACCACAGTTTGGAGTGGATTTTTCTTTTACAAGGCATTTTATGCATGGAGTTGGCTTCTCTCCTTAGAGATCCCCTTTACTTCTCCTCCGTTGCATTCCTATGAGTAGATTTGGATTGTTTATATTCTAAACAATACAAATTTAATCTAGTTGTTTATTACTAATCTGAATAATATAAATTTAATCTAACTGTTTTAATTTAATATTATTTTATTCATTTTTATAAATCGATTATTAAAATATACTTCGAATAATATAGATTTAATATTAAAAATTTTTAATATTGAATTTGAATCATTTATATTAAATATGAACTATTCAAACTGATGATCTAACTGATTTATTAAATTTTTTTATAAATACTTATTTTAATAAATATAAAATAAAAATAAAAATATAGAAGCCAACCTTTTTATATATCATTGAATTTAATTTATAAATAAATGTTCATGTACCACTACGTGTCAATTGTTGATGCAGTAATTTTTTCAAAAATAAATTTATAGGTTTATTTTGTGTTTGATCCAGCTTTATAATTTATTAAAATCAATTTTATGTATTAATTATCGGAAAACCTAATTTTCCAACTTAAATTCAGACATATCCAAAGCAAACCATGTTACGCACCCATGCATGAAGGTAGCAGATGGGTTAGCCGACTCCCTAAATCTGTAAAGTAGCCTGTTTAATGTAATTACAGCTTTTGTGGTCCTGTATAGCAAATATTGATCGTTTTCGGTACTTGTGTGCAGCTTTTCCATTTAAATACATGACGCAACACGTAGCCATGTGGAGATTTGGCGAGAACAGAATGCTGCATTTGTAGTTTAATATAAATTATTCCCCGCTCTAATCTGCGAGATAGTCACATCAAGCAGTCTATTTTATTATTATTTAATATTTAATATTTAATTAAAATTATCAAGGCCTTGTTCCTATCATCTCATCTCATTGTGACCCACTGGATCAGATCTATACGTGGGCGCATATCGTGTGCCAAGTAGATCTGAATATTCAGAACTAAATTCTACTCTAAGTTTCAAAGGGTTAAAATTTAAATTGAGAGGATTATAATTTACTTCTTTTATTTAAAAATAAAAAATATTTTTTAAAAAATTTAATATTAAAAAATATAAGATATTTTTAATTTTTTAAGGTGTAATTATTATTTTTTTAAAATATTCCTATTAATAATGACTTTATATTTATTATAGGGTGTTTAATAAGGGTAAATATGAAAAGATAAGATTAATTGAAAAGTAAGTAACTATTTTATTGGGGGTGAGATTTAATTAAAAATGCCTTATATTTTTAAACGGAGGGAGTATTTGTTTTCTATTTTTAAAGATTATTTTTTTAAAATAAAAATTTTAAAATTTATTTGGATAAGTATTTTTATTTAATTATTTTTAAAAACAAAAAATAGAAAAACTTTAAGTTGTTTTTCATTTTATTTTTCTTGTTTTTAAAATACACTATATTTTATTATTAAAAATTATAGTTATCTTGATTAATTTTTATTATTAATTATTATCTTTAACTATCTAAAATCATAACTACCAATCTATTTTTAAATTTTAAAGCTTTTTTTAATTAACATAACTAAATGGATTCCTTTTTTTTAAAATAATTTTAAAAATTATATTATAAAATATTTTTTAAAAATAAAAAATGAGAATAGAAAACAAACAGGCTTTTAGAGCCTATTTATTTTCTATTTTTAAAAATTAGTTTTATTTTTGAAAATAAAAAATTCAAAATTTATTTGAATACTTATTTTTTATTTAATTATTTTTAAAATTGTTTTCATTTTTTTTAAAAAAAATGAAAACAACTTTAAATTATTTTTATTTTATTTTTCTTGTTTTTAAAACACATTACATATGATTGTTGAAAATTATAATTATCTTAGTCAATTTTTATTATTAATCACTATCATTAATTGTCTGTAACCATCACTATTAGTTTAATTTTTAATTTTAAAACTGTTTTTAATTGATATAATCAAATGAATTTTTATTTTATTTTATTTTAAAAACTATATTACAAAATATTTTTTAAAAGCAATAAATGAGAATAGAACCCAAACAGCCCCTTATATTTAAGAACTTTTTAAAGGAATTATTTACAGATAAAATTCAATATGAAATCGTTTGTTATTAAGATGGTAATGAAGATTTGTTTTTTCCTAATGTTGATTTGTTATTAGTTTTATTTGTGAATAATTCTCTTGAGATGTTTTTCAATATGATTCTTTTAATTTAAATTATACTCCCACCATCCTAAATTATAAACAATTTGATATATGATTATACATATCAGTAAAATATAATAGTGATACTTTATCAATTTACTTTTTTAAAATAAAATTATAAACTTTAAAAAATGAACCTATATAATTAATTATTATGTTATAATATCATTTTAATTTTTTCTCTATTTAAAAATAATATTAAAAAAGTATTATTAATAGAATTTTAGTTTTGTCAAGTTTTCTTTTCTTTTCTTTTTTTTAAAGCTGAGTTCAAGCTACTGTTTATTTGGCAGAAAATGAAATGGTGTCCTTCTAGTAAAATGCTAGAGTCTTGGATGTTATTAATGATCTATGATAATTGAATTTTAAAGAGTAAATTACATTATTTTTTTATCAATAATGGAAATTTAATTTCTTAACTTACACCTTGTTGGGAGAAAAAAAAAAAAACTCTTTAACTCACACCTCTATCTACATATTAGCTAATGTACTAATATACTGAACATTTGAGAAAAAGGCATCTTCTTAAATGATATTTAAATTTTTTGAAAAATTAATTTTATGAGTACCATATGTGGAGATACATTGGAAAAAAAAAAATCAGTAGATCACTCATAATTCGGGAGGCAATAACTGCTTAGGATCCTTCAACACCTAAGTCCTAACTGATAAACTGATAATTATTATGAAGAATGTCAAGAGGTTGGAATTAATTTAAATTAAATTTCAAACATTAACTTTTAAAAATTTGTAAGTTTGATTTTTAATTTTATAATTTTATTATAATAAATTTACAACTTATTTCTTTCTATCTTTATTATAGAACATTTTCAATATTTTTACATATATTAAAAAAATTAATTTTTTTATATCATAAAAAAGTGTGAAATACTTTTATTTTTATCTTTAAATTTAAATAATAATAAAATTATATTAAATAATTTCAAATGAATTAAGAAAGAATAAAATTTAAAAATTAATTTAATTAATATAAGGTGTCATATATTTTAAATTAAAAATTATTTTTAAAAAGTGTCTTATAAATAAAATGAAAGGGAGTGTGTTTCAAATTGTAATAGAAAAATAAATTTATTTATTTTTTAATTATATTAAAATTTAAAATTAAATTATAAATTTATCATTATAAAATTATAAATTTCTTAAATTTAACATTTAAAATTAAATTTAAATTGATTAATTTCTTTGAACCTACGGCATTTTCCCTAATTATTAACCAAAAGACAAAACAACTACTAGCCTCTCGTCTCTCTCCTCTAGCGCTTTCTGCCAGGACCCGCTTCTGGATTCGGATTTGCGGCATGCTATATTTCACTTGTGCCACCGAAACGTCTCGTAAAACCAGCCAATTATCCCCCGTCGTCGTATCCTTTTCCACTGAATCTCTCTCGGTTGATACATGTCTTGTACACATTCCCTCACCTTCAGCTTCTGAATTTCTGATACTGATTCTCTTTACAAACTATGCTTCTTCCTGCCCGTTTCACCCTCTTCCTTGTAATCCTACTCATCTGCGGTCACACTCATGGCCGCCTTGTCATCCGCCTTCCATCATCGTCTTCCTCCTCTGATTCGATCTCAGATGGAGTCTCTGATGATCCGCAGCAGAGCAAGCACGTACTGCTGCTGCCCCTGGCGGTCCAGTCTCTGACGGATTCCACCTGCGAGCAGACGTATGGGTTCTTACCCTGCACCACTACTGTTCTTGGGAACTTGTTCCTCATCATCATCTATGGCTTCCTCATGTACAAGGCGGCTACTTACTTGTCCGGTGGGAGTGAGCTCTTGCTTGAGATCTTAGGCCCTGGTATAGTTGGCGGCTTGTTCCTTCCCATGCTCGGTGCTCTTCCTGATGCCATGCTTATCCTCGGTAAGAATTTTATTTCTTATATCCCTTTGGTGAACTGCCAAGTATGATAGGAACTCACTCTCTGCGCTGTTTGCTTCGAATGAAGGAAGTGAAAAAAAGAAAGGATCCTCCCCCCCCCCCCCGGATGGCTGAAATGGCGGGATAAAATATAGGGGTCAAAGGATCTGTCCGATTGGTCTCGAAGGCAGGAGTAAGGAGGAAAAGTGGAAGTTGCCATATTTTCTGATTAGTTCCAGCGAGTGCTGAGCTTTCAAAATGGAAACATTGAACTTTTGATCTTATAGTGGGGATTAATTTTTAATGCATTGTTAGGCTTTGGTGACTGCATTTCAAGATCAAGTAACTTTTCTGTAAGTTCTTCAGTTATGTCATCAAGTGTTTGCTGAAGTATCAGATATGCAGTTCCTTAAGTAAATCAGGAGCCAAGTGCGATCCTTGCCGTCCCTATTCTTTTTAATTAAATGAAATTTAGGAAGGCTACTGGGTTTGTAACTTTTACACACATCAAGAGGCTTTTGTGTGAGAAGAAATGCCAGATTAAAAAAAAAAAAAAAAACCATTTGTGAGATATTAAGCGAAATGATCTTTGATAATGTGAACTTCATTTCCACATGTAATATTGTATTAGTGTTTCTCATGATTGAAATCATTTGATTATTGCAAACTTCATTTTCTGTAATTTGCTTTTTATTGTTTCTAATCTATTTCTCCCATTTATCTCAGTATCCGGGCTTTCTGGGAGTAAAGAAACTGCTCAGAGTCAGGTCTTTGTTGGAATGGGCTTGCTAGCTGGGTCAACAGTTCTTCTTTTGACTATTATATGGGGTACCTGCGTAATTGTTGGGAAGTGCGACCTTGTCGATTCAAAAGCAATAGACTCACAAGACACGAGGGGGTTTAGCTTAACCGGTGCATATTTTTTTGTTTTTTTGTTTTTTGGCTGCTCTGTGTCACTTATTTGATAATTGAGAGTCAGGTTAGCAAACTTTTCCTTTCCCAAGGTGAGGAAAAAGTCAGTATTTCTCTCTATGGTCATCCAAGAAATAAACTTCTTTACTCAGCATGTTTCTGGTTTTTAGGCTATTAAGTATAGATGTTCTCAGGCTGTTTAATGGTTATCTTTATAACGTGATAATTGAAGTATAAACATTCTAATGAAAACGGAAGATGAGCATAGTTAATAATTTGACATGTGCACCTTTCACTGAAACTTGGCAAGCTGAGAATGAAACATTGGTTAAATCTAACATCTTTATACCATATGTTCATTTGTAATTACTCTTTTTTTTTTTAATTTTATGTTAAGTGGATTTTTTTAAAATAAAAAAGTTGGAAAGTGGAAATCATTAGCAGATGGTCAACATATACCGAATGGATGCTTCTCGCTATGTCTCAGTTTTTAGTTGGATTATTTTGTGACTTTGAGAAATGAGAAGGGTGCTAGGCAGAGTTAAATATGACCCCTTCCATTTTCTTCTCCACCCCCCTTGTGAGTGAGGCCATTATTTCCTTATTTGTGCCATACTCTGCAAGTGCAGAAATATATCATTCATAAGGATCCTTTGTTTAATAAAACCTCCGATTGCAGGTTCTGGTGTTAGTACAGATATTTGGACCAGTTATGCAGCAATGATTATGGCCATATCCATCCTTCCATTTCTGATTGTTCAGTTACCACAAATTCTTAATTCAACTTCAGGAAGGCACCTGGCTGTTTTGATTGCACTCATTGTCTCTCTGTCTTTGTTGATTGCTTATTGCCTTTACCAGGTAAATTTTACTGTTACTTTGGCTGCATTTATTTATTTTGTTTTCCAAGCACTTCCATTATTCTGTCGGCTGTCTTTAGCATCTTTAGATATACAATTGACCAATTTAGAGGTAGTTACCATACCTCTGGTCATCTGATAATTAGGCTTCCTTACACCTTATTTTATGACTTGGTGCAATTAACAAGTAACTTTAAGCAAGCTGCGTTTCATCCAGCCTGAACGATACTTTTATGTTTTATTTTTCATTTTTTGTACGAAGTTGTGACTGGCAGTTCAATGATTACTGCATATTAGAACTAGAACTAGACTTTGTCACCACATAATTATAAATAGCAGTTCAATGATTACTTTTATGTTTTATGCATTGTTTCCATATCCTGATGAAATTGCGGGCTGGAATATGCAGATTTTCCAGCCTTGGATACAGAAGAGAAAACTCAATTATGTGAAACACAAGCACGTTATTTTAGGCCTTTTGAGACGCTTAAAGCAGCATGCATTGGGAAGGTTACTAAGAGATGACGGTGAACTTAATGAAGATATTATAAGAAAGTCAGCTCATCTTTCTGTTTTGACTTAACACATTTTACTTTCTAAAGCATAAGTATTCATCTCATATTTTTATCGTTTTTTTGGTAGTTACTAACTTCTCAATGGATATTTGTACAGGTTATTTGATAGAATTGATGAGAACAATGATAGGCACCTTTCTTATGGTGAACTGAAAGCGCTAATTATTGGAATTGAATTTGAGGAGATTGACCTAGATCACGATGATGCTGTAAAAAGGATAATGGAAGATTTTGATACTTCTCAGGATTCACTTCTCGATGCAAATGAATTTGTAAATGGTGTACGTAAATGGCTTCGAAAGTCTATGCGTTCTCAGGATGCTTCTGGGGATGCTGGTCCACGGACAATAAAGTTCTTAAACGATTTTCACCAAGTAAGTGGTGCTCTGCTGAACTGCTTGAAGGAAATCAGTCTTTATGAGGCTTCTGAATGACTTGACATTTTGTGTACAGGAAACAGAAAGGGAACGTGATCTATTGCATGTAGGGAATCATAGTGATACAGTTGAAGAGGGTGTAGCTGATGCTAAATGGAATGTTATCAAAGCAGTGCTGCTGCTGCTTCTTGGGACTGTGATAGCAGCTGTATTTGCTGATCCTTTGGTTGATGCAGTTGATAACTTTTCTGATGCCACAAGTATTCCTGCTTTCTTCATTTCCTTCATTGCACTGCCTTTGGCTACAAATTCTAGTGAAGCAGTGTCGGCAATCATTTTTGCTAGTCGTGATAAGAGGGAAACAGCCTCCTTAACCTTTTCTGAGGTTTGTATTCTGTTTTGCAATCTTCGTCCCTTTTAGGCATTAGAATGCATGAATAGGAGCTCTAATTTTAGAGAAGAAAAAGAAATTGGAATTGGGTTATTTAATACAATGATGTCACAAAGTTATGTTTGACCCATATTGTCACAAAGTCATAGAAATGAAATTCCTAGGATCAGTAGTGCGATTAAATGAATTTTTTTTTATCCTGCTTGTAAATGAGAACGAACTTGTATTTGAATTAAGTTTGGATTCTGATTGCGATGTCTTTGCAGCTATATGGGGCAGTGACAATGAACAATGTGCTGTGCCTTTCGGTGTTCTTGGCTCTTGTTTATGCGAGGGGATTGACATGGGACTTCACTTCAGAAGTGCTGGTTATTGTCATAGTTTGCGTTGTCATGGGTCTCTTTGCCAGCTTCCGCACAAGCTTCCCTCTCTGGACAGCAATAGTGGCTATCCTACTCTATCCCTTTTCCCTGGCTCTGGTCTATGTTCTTGATTATGTGTTTGGCTGGTCATAGGCCGCCTAGAAATGTTTTCAAAGGCCATTGCTTTCTCTGGTTAATTGTCAAATACAGTTTTTGTTGGGATGTTTTGTTTTGTTTTTGTTTTTGTTTTTGTTTTTGTTTTTGTTTTTGTTTTTTTTTTTTTGTTTTTTTGTTTTTACCAGCGTTGGGATGTTTTGTTGTCATGCTGTTCCCTGAGAGTGCTCTATATTTGCAGCCTTGTTAGGTGTGAGAAGCTCCATGTACATGGACGTGTGCGTGTGTGTGCGTGGTTTTTTTTTTTTTTTTAACCCAAAAACAAATTATCTATCTGAATGGACATTTATGGTCGAGATGATGAAGCTTATGTTTCAAAGAGCGCTGGTGCTCGTGTGAATTTTTTATTTTCATATAAGTAAAAGGACAGAAAAGCGAAAGGAGAAATAGGGTGCGAGGTTTCGTTCGGAGGATGTAGCCAGATACCTCGTATCTCCCCGAGCCACGTGCAGAAGTTTGTCTTTATCATTGCCCATCGTGATTCATCCTACCAGGTTCCCACAACCAGATAAACGATTACCAAAACTAGATACAGAAGAAACCAAAATCCAAAAGGCACATTACGACCAGAAATGTAGAGGAATTATTAGTTCCTCACGTCAAAAACAATGAAATATCTCCTGCTCACATGGCAGAGATTTCAAAGTCGCAGTCAGATTCATTCTTACATGTGCAAATTTAGAGTTACCTTCATCCCTGTGGAATTATGTCAAAATGGATAAGCCATTTTTGGAAGAGTCTGATAGTGAGAAAGAGCTGGTGGGTAGAAGTTACAGAGAAAAAGATGTTCATACCTTCAAATTTAAATCAACATTTTCTCCCACTTCATTACCATTCTGAATTCTGGCAGTTGTCTTGGCTTTTGCAACTGGTGGGAAGAAGTTATATAACGGTTGCTGCATTTGATTGAGTCCACTGAACCCTGGCAATTGAGTAATTTGATCTTCGATAATCCCCTTTAGCAAACAAAATGAAAGTCAAGAGTGGTTAATGAAATCAGCCAAATGGGAGAAAGAAAATCATATATCTGAAGTATATGTGCAAGTGTTTGCTGCTAGGTTCATCAATAAAAGCAAGGCAAGTAGATTTTTTTTTCTTAACAAATCAGCATCACATGATAGGATGATTAGGAAAAAAAAAGATCTTTTACATGCTAAGATTATACTGGAGAACTAGAGGCAAATACTTTAAAGAATTTTTATAATAGAGAAGAGAGTAAAATGAGTTTGCCCAAACCTGACAAGATAGAGACTTTATAGACGTTGAAGGAGACTTGGAGTTTGAAGGCGGACATAATGAAGTAGATGTTGGAGGAGCCAGTGTGAGAAAGTCTCCATTGAAATTCTCATTTTCTGTATTTCTTCTCTTTGAATTTGGCTCTAAGTTGGATGTCGAAGAGGAAGGGGCTTCTCTGTGGATTGATCAGAGAATAAACGAGGGTATGAGGAAAAAAGACTGACAATTACAATGTAAGGACCAAAAGATCAAATTGAAACAACCTGAAATTAGTTGCATTGGCAGCATAGTTAAATCCGCTTCCACTCCGAGAAGGAGTTTCATTCATTTTCATAGGAGCAGCGAAGGTAGGCAATCTAAAACTAAAAGGGGCAGGTGGGACATCCAGGGAGAAGGAGTGTGGCCTTTTCATGCCATTCATCTGCGTTTGAGTTTAAAATATAGATTTATATGCTATGTAAAATCGTCACATATTGTAAGAAAGAAAAATATCGCATCAAAATTTATTAGTTCAAAATCTCAATGAATTAAGCGAGATATGTTAATTACTCGATGATTACTGAAGAAATCCAGGTATATATATTTATATATATATTTGCCATAAAGGAAGAGAGAAAATTGTCATTTTTATTCACTCATCAATTTGAGTTTCTATGTTTTGGTATTACTGTCAAAGATGTCTTGGATTTTGTCTCACCTTAAATCCACCCACACGTGTGATTTTGAACAACTCATCTTGGTGCAGTCAGGATACTGCAACTATTGTGTTTCTAGAAGAACCTTGATGACAAAAAGAAGTCATCTTTTATTAATTATTAGGAGATTAACACTCCTGGGTTAAGACTTAAGACGCACAATAGCTATTCATATGAAAATAATCAAACACGACATTGAAATAGCTAAGATCAATCAAAAGAGAGTAAACTATGACTAAAAGCACATATCGTAAATACCTTCTCTTCCGGCTGCAAAGGCATCCAGTGCCCAGTGCAGTTTTGGTTTGAAGGGGGCTCCATTGAGCATCGAAGTGAAGGTATTGATGAAGTCCCTGATGAGGCATTCACCTACAGGTTCCAGAAGCCATCTTTTCTCATACCAAAGAAGGGAAGGAGCTAGAAGATGCCAATTGAGAAGTATCTTACCATTGAAGAAGAAGGCTGTTCATGTGGTTGTGTTCTTTGCAACCATTTTGGGAGAGGCCTAATGGAGTTGGAATTTGATTCATGAGGCAGAAAAACCAACCCAGGTTCAACACCAAAGCTCTCCTTCTCAAAATCATTCTCATGGGAGCTCCAACACTTTGATACAGTCCCATGGCCTGGAATTATAACAGTGCTTGACGCTTTAGCATCCACCTTTTGCAGTGAAAGAGGCGACCCCGCAGGAAATGAGATTGCAGAAGAGGAGGGTTGATTATAGTGACGAAAATTTGGAATCGAACGAGTCAGATAGGGAGATTTGCTTGATGATGCGGAAGATAGTGATGATAAAATTGCAGGAGATGCTGGAGCTTCGTCTTTGTTTTGCTGTTCCTTAACCCTTATTTTCTCAAGCTGAGCTACCCCAAGTCCTCTTTTTGGGATCTTCTTCTGCTTCGGCTTTTTGCATGGCCTACTACAATTGCCTCCAATGTCATCACCACCATAACTATTGTCACAGTTTTGGATTTGATCTTCTTGAGTCATCGTTGTTATATTCCATCTAATTCTTTACATCATGCACAGTTTTTGTCTCTTTCATGACCAAATTTTTAAGCAGACAACAGATCCCCAGACTTGTAGGGATAGAGATCTCACATTTGATATCACACCCAACATTCGGAATCAAAATCCAAGAGCAAAATCTAAGAAGGTACTAGAAGATTACACTAAATCTCTGGTTGTGGAAATCTGAGGAACAAATCCAAATGGCGAGCCAATCATATAGCAAAGACTGAATAGAGAGAAAAGTATCTGAAATGTTTCGGATTTTTCTCAAATCCAGATTTGCTTGTCTTGTGTGAGAGACAGATAGAAGATTAAACTAACAAGAAGAGAAAAACAAGGCTATAGATATTATCCAAAATTCCGAAAACTTTGAAATCATTCGCTTCTGGCTTAATCTTCGTTCCACATCCCTCATTTTCTTGTTAGATCGACTCTCACAAACTCTTCTTTTCTGAATCATTGATGGGTTATTGGGAGTGTCACTCTTGTGAGTCCGTTATTTTAAGCACTCGAGTCTTGAGGCTGGCCCGTGTATTACTATTAGCCTGACCCTAATTAACAGGTCGTACTATTTAAAGCTTACTAAACTGAGTAATTTTTTAAGATTTTTTTAACAATAATTAAATTAAATTAATTTTTAATCGTGATCCTATCGTTTTTAAAAAGAAAAAAGAAAGTAATAAAATCTCATGCTTGGGTGTTCGTTAGCTATTTTAATTGATTGCTGCAGCTTTAATAGAGAAATATTGTTTTGATATCTAATACCCCGATTTTGACAATATAAACCAAATTTTGATTTCAAATTTGAGTGGGCGAGAGAGATTTTGGGTGAAAAATATATGGTGCAAAAAGCGGGAAAAAAAAATTAATGAGTGAATCTATAATTTCATATTAATGATGTTTCAGAAATAACTAAATCATACTTTGTCCTGAGATAAATTACACTAGTTCATAGCTATAAATAATAGTATAACATGCAATGAAATATTAGTTTGTATCTACCACATGATAAAATGTTATTGTCGTTGATAGCACAATTAGGACTCACAATACTTATACCCCTCTGATTCTTATGCCATTCCTCTGCTCTTTTGTATTTTGTACCGTTTACTCAACGAAATCCCTTTTCCACTAAAAAATATCAATATCGCGCGCGTCCTGAGATCTGTGAATTTTTGTGGATTTTACTGTATTGAATAATTTAATTTACCTCAGACTACTTGGGTCCAAATTTAAATATAAAATATAAAATTTTTGCAAAATATAAAATTTATCCATTATGGATAGTGTGGTTTTCTTCAAGTTATAATTATTCAAATCAACCAATTAAAATTGATCTAGTTGATAAGAATTTAATTCATAATTTACAAGAACATAGATTTAAGACCCGTTATCTAGATGAAAACGTTATTAGTAAATGATTTATAAATACTTTTTTAAATAATTTTTGTTCCAATAAATTCTGGAGACCAGCTCACTTAAACTTTATTCAATAAAAGATAATAATTATTCAAATCAATACAAAGCATACCTCAGAGGTCATTATTAAGTTAGGGAAATCTTGAGCTAAGATAGGCGCAGGGTCACTATATGTAATTACGTTCATAAACTGGAGTCTAAAAATCTTGTCTCTTTATGTGTGATGCCAATGGGGAAAAGATATGCCAACACGTTCAATTTCAGGCACAACAACCAAACTGCATATTGATCAATTTCAATATTACAAACACACACACACATCCAGGAAAATAGTTAAACAGAAAATCAGAATCTATCTACCATGTAAAGCGTCTTGTCATCAATCAAAGACACTTCCACCACCGTCCGTGAGGGCATTGAACCAATTTTAGAGTCTTCATGGCCCCAGTTGTTCAATCATATACTAACTTGAAAGATCATACGCTCATATTGTGGTGCCATTTCACTTTCATTCGCCCATAGTTGGATGAGTCATGCCATCTAACATTGAACATTTAGGGAAATTAGGTTTATTTATACGAAATATATTTGCCAACTACTTAGGTTGTGATATTGAAGCCTGAAACCAAGGATCATGAAAGTTACTAACTTGGGTCACTCCTGAAATTTTTCTTAGATGTACAGTTAATTTTAGTCGGTTAATTTTCTCACGATTTGATTATTTAGTATTTATTTTCTTCATATTTGGAAACATACATGGAAATGGAGATCCCTACCTTTCCTCACCTTCATTCATATAGACTACTCATCTCTCAAGAGATGAACCATCTGCTTCAGTGTAGTTGGCTAGTCGCTCCACCATTTTCAGTATTCAAAACAATCCATCAATCACCATGCAAGCTATTGGCTGTCTTCCATTTTACCTCATCTTATATCACCACCCTCACACCTTTCCATCCTCGACAACCAATCTTCAGGTCCCTGCTTGTTCTTCTCCGGTACGTGTCCCTTCCCCTTCGCCATTATTTTGCATTGAAGTTTCTGCTTCTGGGTATCTCAGATTTTAATGTTTTAATGATGCTTCAATTAGAAAGATGAAGCCTTGTTGCTCTTGCTAATAAGGAAACAATTCTGTTGAACTCCAGTGCTCTGCTGTAGTGGCATTCAATAATTATGTATAAAGATTTGGGTAATTAAATTGGGGGGAGGGGGGAGATGATGTGCATAGTTGTAATTTGTAGAAGAGTATAGGATTCATGTTTAGTGTTTTTTTTTTCTTTTTTATTATGGCTATTTGATCGGTCAGATTCAAGTTGGCCCAATTGAGAGTAACTCTCTCAAAAGCATTTTCTACATCCACGCATAAGTTCGAACTCAAAATCTCATGCTTAATTAGTCATAATCCATTCTACTAGGACCAATGCCTGTTGGTTCATGTTGAGTGTTTTAAATGCCTCAATTCCCAAGCTTCAAAGAAAGTGGATACTAAATGTAACAGCATGTTTCCAGAATATTCGGAGCTGATTCCAGAAATATATTACTTCTGAAAGAAATAAAACCCTTGAGATGTGTGACTTGAACATTATAGTTCATATAGGTACTATCATGCATATGCATGCTCTTTTAGTTTAACATGCTGAAAGCCCCCATTCTTTAGGCTTTGCGGAGTCTGAATTGTTAATTGCATATAATGGAAGCTTGCTTTTTTATGAATTTGCAAGGAATTTGGCCTTTATTTTAAGGGTTTATGGTGGCTACAGAGGACATGTCCAGAAAAGGAGGGAAAGTAATAATGGGTTCTTTGTTCTGCTCCAGATTGTACCAAATGATTTAGTTTATAATGTACCTTAGTGTCTTCTTTCCTGTTGTTTTGTTGACCTTGAAGTGATGTTAGAACAAGTTTACAACATTTTGAAAATAAAAATTTCCCTGTATAAAATAGCACCTGAGTGAAATTTGAATAGCCCGTCTATTATTATTGTTCATCTACTATAACTTTGTAAATATTCCAATGCAGGTTTACAGGTAGCAATTTCTTCATCTTGCCTCCCTGAGAGAAAAGAATGAGTCCAAAAAAATGGTTTAGGACGATAATCAGACTGAAGAAAAAGGAAAACAAATCAAAACAAGAAAAGGTTGTATTTTCTCTTGTCCTTTCAGCATGTTTTTTTTTTTTTTTTTAGTTTTGTACACATGATGAGAACATGGATCTCTCTTATAGCTTTTCTAGAATGTTGTTATCGCGAATTACTGACTGGAGAGGATTAGAATCTGTGAAATCATCAACTTGCTTTGAGTTGTCTTGCATTACTTGAAGCTGGCTCTGTTTTAAGCTCTTCTTACTGTAACTATGTTTTGTTAAGTGAACACTAAAAAAAAAAAAAATTAAACACTTGTTAACACTCAGCACATATAATGCTGCTGAAATAGGTGGAGTCTAGTGCTGAAACGTTAGAAGAGTCAAACAGCACCCCCATTGAAGCTCCAGTGATAAATCGAGCAGTTCCAACAAGGTTGCTTGAAGATGTTGCTGCTATTCGCATTCAAAATGCATTTCGTTCATTCATGGTATAGGAAGACACTTCTTAATCCCTTTATCTTGTGAGTTTGGCTTGATATTTGCTCTTGTTTCTTCATGCTAATGAATCAATTTTGTTCATCCTATGAGCATAGTGGCATTATCTTCTGGTTATCAAATTTTCTCTCGCTTTTTCACAATAGAAAACATAATTTTACTTTTACTGTCTCGCTGGATTTTCCTGGTGAATTCTGTATGCAATGCACGTGGAAAGCAAAACATGCTTTTTATGAGCACTTCTCATGTTCTATGATCATTATGCTTCACTTCCCCAATCCACCACTCTCCTTTTTGAGGATGGGCTCCTTGTCAGCCGGCTTACTTTTATACAAGCACCAAATGGTAGTTAGTGTAGGATTTGCGTGGATTTAATCTTTGGCCACTTCAAGAAATATAAAACTTAAAATTTGGGCCTTCTTACTATTGGGTAGATCAAGTATGTTAAGTGCCCAGGTGGATTTTACAGGAAGATATACTTTGCACACTTAAATTTTTTTTAATGATTGATTTGATTTACCCATCTTTTGTAAATCAAAGTTACATGAGAATCTCCCCCCCCCCCAAAAAAAAAAAAACAAAAAAAAGCGTATTTTAGTAATCTATGATGTTGGCATGTATGACCACCTTTCTCCCTCTCCAACAATTATACAGGCAAGGAGAACAATACACCACCTGAGGGGAACCGAGAAATTTGAAGCTTTGATTCAAGATCACTTGGCCAGAGAGCAAACAGCAACAGCACTAAGCTACATACATTCGTGGTGTAGAATACAGGACCAAATTAGAGCCCGCAGACTCTGTATGGTAACAGAAGCTAGGATGAAGCAAAAAAAGCTAGAAAACCAGTTGAAGCTGGAGGCTAAGCTCCATGAACTCGAGGTATAATTATAATAACTACTGTCTGCTTGCAATGGCTTTTGCTTCTGATGTGAGGTGAGCTTTTGTGAAGCCTCAAATCAACAGGATATGTTTTTGTGATGTTTCAATGATGTATCTGTAACTCAGCAATTCAGTTGGTCCCATTCTCATTTGTGGTTTCAAAGAAAAAGTGCCCCTTCATCTTACAACATGAATCGTGTGTATGTCACTTGACATTTCTATTTGATGACAGTAACTCTTTATCCTGCATACAACAACAACAACAAGCCTTTATCCCACTAGGTGGCAAAAAATATTCAACATTCGATAATTGTTCTCTCTGTCCTCAAGGTTACTTGTTTACTGCGATTATCAGTTTGTCTCCTGTGTTGTAGTTATATATAGGGAGATATATCAGGTAAATATTCACAACAACGTAGGCATCAGTATGGGTGAAAACCTTATTTGAGTATTGTAAGCAAGATCAAACTTTTGCTCAAATGATCAAGAATCTGATTTCATTTCAAGAAATTGCCTCCAAAAGCTATGAGCTCTGTTACCTTTCTTGCAAAATGACGTTCGGTTCGGTGGACAGGTGGAATGGAACTGCGGGTCTGAAACAATGGAAGAGATACTTTCCAGGATACATCAGAGGGAAGAAGCAGCGTTGAAACGAGAGCGGGCCATGGCATACGCATTCTCTCATCAGGTGGAACAGCAAAACTCGCTCCTTGAATTTTACACATCAAGTTCTCTTGCTATATGAGTTATCAATTCATGGACTATTCCACTCTATTCAATTATGACAACATGATGAAAATGCAGTGGAGACCCAACTGCAGCCAGTACTTTGGTCAAGCTTCTTTCAGTCTCGGCAAAGAGAGCTGGGGTTGGAGCTGGACGGAGCGATGGGTGGCAGCACGTCCATGGGAAATTCGGATTCGGGTTCAGCCATCTAAAGCAAAGAAACTGAATGGACAGAACCGGATCAAGTCAGACAAGGTAACAACAACAACAACAACAAACCAGACAGATGGTAGCATACCAGCTATGGATAATGGGAATGAAACTGAGAAGGCCGAGGAAAATGCTACAGGCCTGTCCAAGAACACTCTGTCCGAGTAGTTTGTTCTGTCTGAGGTAGCAAAAGATCAAAGGTTGATGGCTTTCCCAACGAGGGACGGATCAAAAAGGCTTGACATGTTGATCGGGTGTCTTGGATTTTTCATTTTGCACTTCTTATAATCAATTTTGGATTTGTGGCTTGGTGGTGAGAATCTGATATTCAGTGTGTATATTACTGTTAGAAAACTTGTTTTGTTTCGCCGGTGTTTTGCTTTATCACTACAACGTGTTTAGTTTTACATTTCCCTAGTGATTCCTGGTTCTAGCTTGAATACAAACATACAATTCACCATCCTCTGCATTTCAGGTAAATTTTCAGATGATTTTCGTTTTACCCTTGCTCACCAGTTAACCCAAGTTGATCAAGAAGAAGATAAAATACCTTATACGTGTATATATATCTTAAAAATAAAAATATACGTAAGATTTAGTACATAAATGTTCAAACATTGATGCCCCCCCCCCTTTTTTTGGGAAACGTGTTGATATCTTTTTTCCTCGGGGAACTGTCTGTCTGAAAGTAGTCCCAGAATCCAGCAAGAATGATGTATAAATTGGGCCTAATTTGAAGGTAATGGTACCGGCGGGCTTTCCATCAGTTTCAAAAGGGGTCATCGTTTTCAATTTATCATCTTTCTTGTTGTGTAATAAGCAGTTAAACTGTGATGTGATTCTTTCAGTTTCAAAATTATAAAAGTTATCATTGTAACCCAAAAGAAATATAAATACATCAATCGAGATGAGCGCAGGCTTAAAAACCTAGTTTCGTGAAAGGATAGGCTCCTCACCAAATGCCAAGCTCATGCAACTATTTGAGGGACCGGAGTACATAAAAATATTAAATCATCAACAAGAGTGAGCTCTAGCAAAAGAAGTTAATTTCTCATAATGTAATTAATTTAAGTTTGAATTCTCCCTAGGAGAAGAACCCTGGATTTGGTGCCTGATCATAATGCTAAAAAAAGTCATACACAAACTTTTGTTTTTTAAGCCTTCAACCTCATTAAGACAAAGTATAACAAAGGACATAATTTGTCAATCTCTTAAAAAAATGACAGTTAAATCTTAAAATATTAAATTAATAATAGTTAAGTTAATTTTTTTTAAATAAGTTAAAAATATCGATCTCGATGATTACAAATTTAAAATAAATTAAAAATAAATATTCAAGTATCAAATGTAATTCTTAAATTATAACAGAAGTTTTTGATTGTAACTATTTAAATTAATATTGATAATTTATTTTTTAGAAAATTTTGTGAAGAATTTATTTGTCATTTTTTTAATTTTTGGGACCTAACGATCATTCTTCCTAAAGAAAATTAAAGCTAATTATATGCAATCTCTTATGATCAAGATTTAAATTGGAGGAATAGTCTAAATTTACTTACTCAATAAGTGTTTCAATTATGGCCATTAAATTTTATCAAATACTTAAAAATTATTAAGATATATTTTCTTTTTAAAATTTAAAATAATTCTCCCAATCAGAACACTCACATATATTATTTCTTCCAAAAATTCAAGATTTAATATTTTTTGAGTATTATATAAAAAAAATCTTCTATAATCATTTAATTCAATTAAATGGTTGTTATTGTATTATGTAAGAAACTCATTGAGTGAGTGAATTTACCTCACATATCTAATCCAAATATGAGTTAAAGAAGGTAATAAATATTGTTACCAACAGTCTCATGAAACAAGCTTATAAGATGAATGATGAATTCATAATTTTATGTCCCAACCTACAGCGCAGTGCAGAGTTCTCATGCGTTATCCCTTTTTTTGGGGGGCTTCTACCTTTTTCTTTTGTTGTTTTTGGTTTTGATGAAGTTATAGCCTTTCCTTTGTGTTAAGTCCAAAAAAAAAAAACAAAAAGAAAAACAATCATTTTCATCGATCGTAATCGGGAGCCCAGATGATAAGCCAATATAAATGCAGGGATAGTGAAAAATGAGGAGAGTTGAGAAGGAGCACAGGACAGAGGAGGCAATAAAATAAGTGCACTTTTGGTAATGGCAAAAAGCCAACGCAACATTAATTCAGGTTTTAACGCTAGTAATGGTGCTGACCTTTCGCTAAAAACGCAATTAATTGGTAATCGAGGTAGGCTTTTAATTAATTAATAGTAGTTGGCATGCCCTGATGTGATCTCATTGTCACGCACTTCGATTATTGTTAACGTTTCCATTGGTAAGACGGACGGATAATCCATTTTGCTTTGCCGTCAAATACACCAATATTTGTTGTCAAGTTAATCGGGACAAAATAGTTAGGGTAGAACAAATATACAAAGAGATGGTGATCCTCCCAATAATTACAGGATTACGCACTTTATGTGGCTTTGCAATGCTTAGCTTAACAGCATTCTCATTTTGTAATTTTTTGCTGCCGGATGTGGATCCCACTTTCAACAAATATGAATGCTTGATGTATATGGATTTTAAGGTTTTATGAAAAGAGATATGGATACATACACTGATAAAAGTATGAATCTTATTTCTAATCCATGTATGAATCCCACTATTTTTTGGAAAACCAGCTTTTTAGGAAAAGTTGTTTGATAAAAAAAATATTTTTTAAAGAAATTGCTGTTTTATCAAAAGACGATATAAATTCTTTTTTAAAAATTACTTTTAGATTTTAAATAATTTTTCTCTTGCTTTTCAAAAGTATAAATTGATTTGGGTTACTTTCCAATTGAAACATAAATCTTAAGGAAAATGATAAGAGATCCTAAAAAAATTAATTAATTTAAATTAGGTTTTAAGTGTTATATTTTAGAAATTTACAATTCAATCTCTCAATTTTATAATTGTATTGTGATGAATTTGTAACTTATTTTTAAAATTTTAACATAATTGAAGAATAAAAAAAATTATTTTTCTTATTAAAATTTAAAATACAAATTACAAATTCATCACAATAGAGTTGTAAAATTGAGATATTGAATTGTAAATTCCTGAAAGTTGATATTTGAGACCTAATTTAAATTAATTAGTTATTTTAGATCCTCTATGTCATTCTCCCCAAATCTTATCCTAATAACTAAGTTTATTAACTGATTGATAAACGAACTTTTAATAAATTAAAATTCAAACTCATACTCAAATACTAAAATTTTTAATATTTTACTGTCCAATTTTCAATAAGCCCTACCCACTTGACGGTGTAAAGGTGCTTATCTTAAAATGCTTGAAGCCACTCGCCTTTGGAACCAAAAAGGACAACACCTTTCACAAAATAAAATTAATTTGCACTCTCCGGCCACCCTAGTCACATAATGTGTGGAGATCCTTTAAGGTTGGGGAAAACAACTAGTTTGGCGTGTAAATGCAGTGGTCAAATATCTGTCCTTTTCACAAATAATAATATTATTATTGTCATTATGTGTATAATTTTAGCATATATAACACACACACATACACACGCACTTGTATATACAGCATGCGACCTATTATCTTCAAAATTGATGGAGCCCATCCCAATCTTACCAAACCTCCACTATACTTGTGGCACCATCATTCACAGTATAATGGTGCTAATCCAATGTATTATTTGTGAAGCAACAGACGCGTACAAGATAAATAATAATTTAAAAAAAGGAGATGAAATTCAGGGAAAAAGAATAAATCTGACTTATATGTGAATTATTATGATGTTTGGTATTTTTTTTTAATAATATTTGTGAAGAGCTAACTTGTAATTATAAAACCCCATAATATCATACAATTCATACAGCTAATTCCTTACTTAATAAAAGAGTCTCTATAATAATGGTGGTGGTGTTGGTATTACTTTTTATTGGAAGAGCATTTCATCGAAATGGATGGTAAGAGTTGTAATAAAATGTAACCAGGCAGTGCTCAAGGATTTAAACCCTTTTAATATAATAAAAAAAAATACAGAGTTAAAATTTAAAATTCCGGAATTAACATGCTGAGGCACAATTAATGGTTTTGTACTCTAATTTGGGTTTGATATAATATCAGACCACTCTTATGTTCGTGGCGTCACCTCCCGCGCAATAGCTCTATCTCCGCTCCCTCATAAGCAGTGCTTATATATACTCGCCACTTCTTCACGAGCATGGCCGTGATGTACAGCTAGATGATTTTTAATTTGTTCCTTTTTATCCAAAAAAAAAAAAAAACATTAGCCATATCTATATATATGTGTATGTATTGTTGTGATTATAAATATACATAGCCTGCATATGATTAAGTTACAAGCAAGTTTATACAACCAAATATCTCACCAAATGCGTGAGAATCAACCCTCTATTTTCCAATATATTAATGTTTTTTCATGTGATGCACGGGACAGGCACCAAGTTCATTTCTCAAATATGGGAATCATGGAAAAATATAAAAGTCATGTCATTTTGGTTTTCTTTCAAAGAAATAAAAATAATGTTACATGCATGGAAATTGATGGAATTTGTGGGAAAAATTTGGAGGGGGGGATAAAAGTGGCATGAAACCTGAGAAAAGTCACACTATTAATAATTGGCAACGCTACTAGCTATAGATTATATTATATATGTAAGGATAAATAAACATTTTTATCGTTAAAGTATTCTCTAAAAAGCACTTAGCATCTTAAACAATTATTGGTTGGAGCAATTTTACTCTTAAAATACTTAAAATGAAACATTTTTACTTTTGTTATTAAATTCTCTAATAATCAACATTTGAGTTCTAGATAACATTTTTTTTAATAGTCAACATTGAGAGTTTGATAATAAAGATAAAAATGCTTTGTTTTAATTATTTTAAAAATAAATTTGCTCCCACCAATAGTTTAGAATGTTGGTTACTCCTTGAAAAATACTTTAAGGATAAAAATATATATTTACTTTGTGTGTGTGAGTAGTGTGATGTATTGCTGATTTGTCATCTGTGAGAGATCAAATATTAATGTAACTTAAACCATTTGGATCAGCTCAGATGGTAATGATAGAATAAAATCTGGTTAGATTTAGCTATATAGGTTGGGAATTGAAACTTTCCAAACAATTTAGTCAAAAATAAACAAAATGATCAAATTATGGATAGCGCATGAGTCACTACGTACGCGCGAGTCAATGTATAAGATGGTATATATTCCTTTGAATTCGCAATGTTATCATTAAAAATGCAGATTCTTGAATAGAAAACGTAGCAACCGGATTACACGCACATAGACAGGACATATGCCAAGTAGCTATATATATCAACAAAATAGAATGTTTTGAAG